AGCTTCAACAGCAGTATCAGCAGCACTGAGCAGTATTAAATAAGAACTAGATAAGATATCCCTGGATTTGGACAGAAGAACAAGAATAATCCAACCCCAATAGATTAAATAAAGGGTTCAGTTTGAAATTCTTTGAAGATTAACTGGATTGATAATCATCTGATGAAGGCTGGATAGCTGAAATGTTGTGACAACAAAAGCAAAGATGGGGGACAATAGGTTACATGCAAATAATAAAAATAATCTTTTGTATTTCAGATAAAGAGGTTTTTCCTGGGGTTTTCTTCATGTGTAGCAGCGTTCTTTTTAATAATTCCTGGTGTTCCTGCAACTACTGGAATATTTGTTATGTTTAAATACCATATTCTTGTAATTTCTATTTATAGATCTTTATCTTTGGAGAGTTTATCAAATTCTTTTGCCAAGATATTATCAGACAGTGATATTATATTGATATTATTATATTGATAAGTTAATATTTATTCATTATTAGTGTTAATAATAATAAGAACAGCAAAATGAAGAAAAGAAAGAGATCCCATGAGGTTTCTGCAGAAGAACCCAGGCTTTTTTTTTTTTTTTTAATAAAAATAAATGTGTCTTTAGAAAACAAGGTAGTGGGGACTTTTGCACAAACCTATTTCAGCAATCAATTGTGTGGAGGGCATTTTTGTTAAATGTGTCGACCCCAGTCAGCTGAACTTCATGGGAAGTTTATTCTTCTGCTTTGATTAAGAGGAGGGATAAAATCCACCATTTTCTTTTTTGTTTTCAACCACTTAAGTATTTCCAATTATTTTTTTTTCTGTCAGAATTTTGGCTTTGACTCTTGCTCTCTTTCTCTATGGCCTGTTCTATTGTAAAATGAATCAATTTTAATGTAATGTGGGGGAGGGCAGGGTTACAAGGTTTTCAGCCCAGCTAAGAGGAGATAACTCTCCCTTTGCACACAAATTCTGGTGTTTGATTAGATTTTGGAAAGTCAGTACCAATGCACATATTATATACATATATAAAGAACATTACACACACACATTTGGAAAGAGAAAAAGAAAATGAAGTTAACATTGTGAAGCGTTTTTTCATTAATTTGTTTTTGGCTGATAAAGTTATTTTTATAAGTTTAGTTCCACTTGTATGTCAAAAAGTAACGAGTGAATCTGGGATGGATAAAACCCATTATTAGTACACCATGTAATCAAAGATACTTGGAGAGAAGATATACATATGAGCAGTTAACGCTTTCTTTGCCATTGGGGACTTGGTATGACACTCCAAAAATTTCCAAGATTATAGTAACAATCAAACAAAATAAAAACAGTCAACTGGAATTTCTGGTTTAGATCTTTACAGGTTGAATTTTTAAATAATTGGTTGGTTTGACCAAGGCATTTGATATCTATCTTCAAATCTATTACTTTTAATAGATATCTGTTTCAGTCTATCAGTCTATCAGAATCTTTTCAACATCTATCTGAGTCCATACAAACCAAACACACAAGTATGATTATGTAAATAGTAAAATAGAAAGTCAGTCTTTATGGTGAAAACAACCATAAGAAGTTCTGTTCTTGTCTGCCAGGAACACATACAAAAAATATATACAGCCAGTATGAACTATTTACGTGTAAAACAGAAATGAATTCACATTCCTCCAAATAATTAGATCTTTATCGGTATAGAAATAATATCCTATATTTGCTTAAGAATAGCCTTATTCAGATGTAAGTGCTGAAGTGTGTTGCGTAAATATTTACACTAAGAATGGATGTTCAGTTATTGGTGGTAAGAGTGTCAAAAGTGAATTAATGAATTCATCTTTGCTGAAATATGAATGTGGAAATGTATTTTGATGTCAAAATAGATATGTTTGCTTGGTCAACCAGTTCAGAGTTAGATTCAATAAGAAGTTGAAATGTGTGTGTGTGTGTGTGTGTATTGCTTAGATATAAAAAAGAACACGTTACATGTACACACAAATACACTAAAAGCCAGGATCCTTATCTGGCAACTAAATTTAACATTGCAAAATAGACCTCAGCATGTGCTTTGGGGTTGAACCTTCGAGTCCTGAATCCTCAAAGTGTATTCAGGCCCAAACTGATACACAACATGAAAGGCTTTATTCATTGTATAAGATTTGCATGCATTCAAACCTGTGTATTTGTATGTATACATTGGGATTTTATCTTAATTTGCATTTTTAGTAATGAATTCAATTCATTCCTGAGAGTAAAACACCTGTTGCCAGATAGAATCTTGTAAAAATAAAATTAAATTACACATACACACATTCATACAAACTCTTACCAAATATTGTACAGAAAATGTGTGTGTGTATGTTAAATTTCTCAGAATAAATCTGTAGAGAATAAAATAGACAATCAGGAAATAATACTTAGTCCTCGCTGAGGCGTTTCATTATTTGACTTTATCAAGGCAAGTGATGAAACAAACGAAACATAGCTGGGAGGAGAAGAGCTGTGAATATATCCTGCAAAATGAATATAAGTGTTTCTGTCCAATTCCAGACATATTTTACTGTAGAAGGTATTTGAAATTTGTCTGATGGGTTCATGCCTTTATTCCTTTTTGACTGACCCAAAACAAATACAATGAGTAAGAAGATTCTCAAAAGATGTGCAGTTGACTCACACATTAACTAATCTCGTTTGCTTATCTCAGTGATAAAAATGCTTTCCATAGCTAAATGGCTAAATCATTAAACTGGACACCAAAAAGTTTAGCAGTTAACTACAATCATTTACACTAAAGATGAAATTGCCTTCCTTTAACATGAGATTATTTATAAATTGGTTCACTTTTCAAATCACTAACAGAAAAGCCAAGAAGAAATGACAAAAGAAATATGAAAAGCATTAAAAATCTAATTAAATGAAACAGTTTTAGAAAATATAATGAATCAATAGATATTAGTCAGCCATGTAGAAAGAATTCAACTCAGTAATGGTCATTTTTGTACTAAAATCTCAGGAAATTACATTTCCCAACCCAAACGTTTTATTCATTAACCTATTCATTGTACGATGACAAAAATCAACATCCCTGAATTTCTGTGCTTCCAATCCAGTTAAGTTTATAAGTGGAGGAGCTACGGCAGAGTAATGGATAGCAGCTTGGACTGAGGAACTTACGTGCTAATACTCTTGGGAAAAGTATGAATCCTCTTCCCCCCAGCTATGGGTAAATAGCAGGACAGACCAGGTTCTAGAGCCTTGGATGGCAATTGGTCTACAGCAGAAAGAAATGGCAACTTACTGCAGAAAAAATCTGCCTTGTCAGTCATGTATTGAAAGATACATGATCCCTAAGCGTGTATCACGTACGGCACATAAATGACTGAAGTTTATAACATGTATTCAGGGCAACGCAAACATAGAAAGAAGCCAAGAGACGAATGTGAATTGAATACTTTACAAAAGTTAATGCGCAGTAGATCCTTGTGAATAAAAAAATATTAACAGAATTTCATGATAAATATATTTCAGCATTTAAAGTTTTCTTCATTTTTCTGATGAAAAACTCTTTATTCTAACTGGATTCTACTTTTTTCCAAATTCATTTTGTATTTAAAACAAAATAAAAATCAGTTGAATCAAAATTTATATTTAGGGACAAAATTCTTATAGAATGGCTATATAGAAAAGGGCAGGTCAATTTTGGAACTGTGGTATTGGACTCAATTCAAAAGTTGGGGTTTGACATGATAAATAATGACAAAATATTTTTTCCAAATTGTTATTGTTTTTTGAGGAAACGAGTTTAAAGATTAAGTTCAGGTTCAAAATCATAGCATTGGAATTTCATTCCAGTCATCATCAGTGAAAGTCTTATTGCAGACCCTTATAAAATTTATAATTTACTGAAGCTTTACAAATTATATATGGACATGATGCATAGGACAAACACATTATTCATAAATCATTGTGCCATCAAATAAGACCTTCATTTACTTAAAAGGAAATTATACTAAACAATTTAGTTATATAATGATGTTAATGATATTATGTTAATGTTATAGAGTGCTGTAGATTTTCAATGCAAATTATAAGACAAAATTAAAACATTTTGTCTTATAATTTGTGCCCAGCAGTATTATTGTGTGATATACACTTTTATCTAGTTTTTGTTTCTATTAATTATGATCTAACCAATGATATAGCAAATCTTATTTGTTGAGAAGACTTTTTTTTAATTATTCAATATTTTTTGCACAGTTTTACTTATTGAATACAGTAAAAAAAATTGCATATTTTGCTTGTGGTGATTCAATAATTAGAATTCATATTTTCCATTCAATGTATCTAGTATAAAAGATATCAATTTTATTTGGATTTAATCTTGAAATAGTAAATATTTTCCCTTCAATGTATCTAATACAAAAGATATCAATTTTATTTGGATTTGTGCTTGAATTAGTAAAATGTTGAGGTTAGTTTGCAAGTAAAAACCTGCAGAAATTAGATATTACTGTATATTTTTTCAGACAATCTTTAAAACTAAATACCAAAAAATTAGTAAAAGCTATGAATTATTGCTGTCAGTACTTATCACATGAAACCACAGCTTTCACACACAGTGTAATGTTGATTTTCTAAAGAAGTGAAAAATCAACCTGCCCTAATTTAGAATCAAATACATTTTTTATTCAATTTATTTCAGTGTTTGATCCCATATCAAAGTTTTGCAAACCAACAAGATTTCATATTAATCAGGTAATGTTTTCAATAGATCCCATATTTTGCTTATTGACAACTTTGATTTGTGTAATCTACTTCAGTGGTCAACTTTTATGGCTCCTAAAATCTCACAGGACAGACAAATGAAATCAATAATATTCCATTGCCCAGGGTAAGAACCAGTGAAAATCAAGAGCAAATTTTTTAATCGAAATCATTATTATCAGAATCAGTATTTTATGAACAAACAATGAATGCCTGCCACCCACCCACACATGCACCAATGTTACCCAAACTTACATGAGGATTTTGCCGCCTGAACCGCTCTTCTTGGGTGATGTATGCATCAATAGGGGAAGGAGAAGGTTCTTCTGAGCAAATAGAAGAGCAAAGGTCATGAACCATTCTCTCAGCCAAATGTTCTTGCTGCAACTGCTTAAGATGTTCCTACAATAATTTAAAAATTTAAAAAGGTCACAGTGTATCTACAACAGCTGATATTTTATCTTTTGTCTAAAAATTTGATGTTACTGTAACTTTTGTCCAAAAAGGTTTCTTCTCTTTTTTTTTTTTTACTGTTAGATGGCATTAGTATTTAGTTTTAACCAAAACTTAATTAAAAAAGTTCACAAAACACACATTTTGGAAAAATAGAATCATGTATTTTTGTTTATAGTTTCTGAAATTGAAAATATAAGTAAATAAGCAACATTTTCAGTATGTCTAGCTTTTTTATTTTAAGAAACGTTAAACTGCAATGCAAATGCAAAAAAAAAATTGTCAGCCCATGGAGAAGGTTCTGTGAATAAGTGAACAAATAAAATGTGGTTTGCACTGGGATTCTTTGTGCTGAACAATGCCCCATGGTCAGATAGACCAGTTAATGTTGATAACAATCAAATTGAGATATTACTTGAGAATAATCTGCACTATACAAAATGAGATACTGCCATCAGACCTGAAATATTTGCATCAAAGATTGAAAACCATTTACATCAGCTTGCTTATGTTAGTCACATTGAGGTGTGGCTTCCACATAAGTTAAAATACTTATCAGATCCTATTTCTGTGTAGAATTCATTTTTTTTTTAATTATCATAAGCAAAGAAAAAGAATGTTAATTCCCAAGTCCTTCAAAACTTGATTTTTACTTTAACTATTTTTTTACAGAAGTTAGATGTCTTTCTTTATAGTTCATGTATCCTTATTGTTTAAGCACTAATTTAGTAAATATATATATATATATATATATATATATAGTTTTTTCAAGGTATCACAGTGTTCAACATAACCAAACAGAGGCAAATAATTTTCAACACTATCTTCAATAAATAAAACTAAACAAATTTTGATGATTTAAAAAAAAAAAATAAATGCCTGCTAACCTAACAAAGAAAAGTGAATATTTGGAATGAAATTAGTTAAAACTAAATGCGCCTAATGACAATTGATAACAAATACTTAGGGCACCCCCATCCCTTTCTGGCTTCCCCACTGATAAAGGCAAGAAAGTGATGAAGGCTTACTCTCAGTTCTTTCCTCTCCTCACAGAATTTATCCTCTGGAATTATTGTCCCCCGCAAGGTCAAAATAATGGGTGCTCCACCCTGTAGCACAGGGTGTGTTTCAAACAACCACTGTTCAGAATAAATGCCACAATGGGAAGATTTAAATGTGAATGGAAACTGCAATGTCATACCAGGTAGAATGACACCTGCAAAAGATAGAAACAAAAAAAGGCTGAAGAGAGAACGAATGTGAAATTTGACAAATCTTTTTTTTTTTTTTTTTTTTATTATTATTGATTTTGTTAGCATTTGAAAAAAAGCACAACTGTAAATAACAACTGATTGGCAAATTCAACATAAAAGCCCCCTCCCCGCCTTCAATCTGGATTGACAAGTATACCTGTTACATTCACTGTTATCCTTTACTTGGGTATGTGTTTTTGTTTATACAAAGACATTGTTGCTTAGTAAATGTGGCTAGTCCAAGTTTTACGCTATGAGAGGTCAACTAGTCTTTTCCACACCAAAAGAGCAACACAAAAAAAAAAAACAAAAAAAAACAATATCTGATAATAAACACACCTTAAAACCTTATAATGAATACTAATTTAATACTCATTGATACAATCCAGTGTGGGTTGAATAAAAGGTTTTAGATTCCCTTTCTCAGTCAGTCAGCCAGATCACGTAACAGATGTTGGAAGTGGGGGTGGCAAACAAAGGTTGCCAAGAAAAATTATCCTTTGACTAAATGAATTCTATAACAAATAACAAAACTCCTTATATTTGCTATTCTATTATTATACTCCTACTTTAGAGAAAGTATTTAAATATATTACACTATATCTAATATGTCAGTATTATGGATGGGTGGTCATGTACTGAAAACTTGAATTGTACATCTGAGAATGGGGAAGATAGTGAAATTAAACTGAGCAACAGTTCCATCAAATCTAGATTTGATCCAGATGTGATTATTTCAGCATATATTGACAAAATAATAAATAATCAATAATAATAATCAGTAATAAATAATAAAAAATCAATAATAATTGCTGTTCTTATTGTTTCATTGATGCAAGAATATTCAAGTTTTTTTGGCTTTCAAAAGACTTTCATGAAAGAAAAGCTGTCAGGAAGCAAAGCATGAATGAGAAACAACTGAAAACAAACAACAGAGAATTGGTTGATATTTATTGAGATTCATATAAGCTTAAGATTAAACAGGATTAGGAGTAGAAGGATTGTGTTGTATTGATCCCCTAAACTAACAAGGCTCTTGCCTACCTACCTTGAAAATCAGTACAGCATTTAACTAGACTTGAAAACTAAGTTCTAGCAATGGTGGAAAATATGTAACGATTTACGTCAGAAGGTAAGCCACAGTAAAATATTCTGACTAAATATGTCTCGCTTGCAACTTTGTATGAAAACTTAATTTGCAAATTTTTCTCAAAAAATATCTTATCTGTTCAAAGAGATATTTTTTTTCACGCGTGATCACCAAAGTGAGTTCCATGATAAAAAAGCTAATTAGAATTTGGTAAAAATATTATCATTTGTCCGGCTTCTTTGTCTCCTTATTCAACCAATTTTTCATCCAACATCAAAGAGTTTCATGCAAAGAGATTGGAAAGCTGGCAGAATCTAGTTTACTTTAAAAGAATTGAAGAATTAGAAAACTAAAAAGGTTTTTTTTTTTGTTTCCAGATTTCCTTTTACAAGTTCAGTTTTAAAAGTAAATTCAGTTCAAAGCAATTAAAATGAAATCCGAAGTCAGGAACTGCAGATCATGTAGGCAACAAGCCAGAATTTGAGAAAGCAAGGAACAAAGAAAATGGGAAAATATTAACATCGTGAAAACAAAGCTACTTCATAATATGGAAGAATTTTTTTTTTTTTTAAATTGCATGTCATTACTTCAAAAACTGACAAGAACAAAACAAAAACAAACCCTCTCTTCAATATCAATCATATAAGCGTTAACATTACAAAGGTAATCCCTACCTCCTCTACATCCCCCTCACATTTCTCTCTGTCTCACCTCCCTCATCAGTTGCTATCTCTGCTAGATTTGTTGAATAATACCAACCTTATGGGTCATCCAGATTGGGGCCCAGTGTGTTGTCTTGATAGGGTTGATTTGGGTTTCCCAAAATCTTATGATATTGGGATTCACAGCAAAGTCAATTGTGGACCACTCTATGTGTGTCGTATACCACAGTTAAGAATGAATAAATCTCAACTTAGATCTGTGGTAACTTTTGACTCTTTGCATCCAAACATGCTCAAATAAGGCTGGAATAAGAACTCCTTCAATAAAAGGCACAACTGTTGATAACTCTAACAACAGGTTTAGTGAATATAAAAAAAAAACATTGGTTGAATAAAATGTCTGTATTATCTACTGCAAAATCAACTTCCTTATTGTCAGATAATGATCTGAGAAATCTAGTCACAAATGCTAAAGTAAGATCCAACCAATTCTTCTGTCATGCATGTGTCTGTGTTTTTGCTCTGACCATGGGAAAAACAACTGGAGTGAATCTCTGGTGACTTTCCTTGTTGGGCTGATTCTCTGTCTATCTGTCTAGGTCTGGGGAGCTCTAGACTCCCTAAACCTCTACCAATATTTGACATTGATGTATTTAATTTCTCCACTCCAACATTCTTAATTTTAGGATATCTTGTTAATTAACAATATGGTACTATCTTTGGTTAGAATCTTCCTAGATATCTTTCTGTAAAGATAATGATGTTTCGGGACTCAAATAAATCCCAAACTTGAAATTTAGACAAAATCTTTTTCATTTATAAGAATTTGGATCATTCTTTCTGCAAGACTACATACCTTTTGGACAGATAACATAATGTAAACAAACTTTTGAATTTAATTTCTCAGTGCCAAAGAAACTCAGACAACATATTAATCATGTCTTCTTATCAGCAGAAGTGGATAGGGTGGAGAACCTTGGTTTTGCTCAATTTTACTGAATCTTGGTTGGTTAGTTCTCCTTGGAACTGTTCTCAAATTCATTTTATTATTTTAAAATATAACTTTTCATTTTTTTTTTCAACCATTCACCTTACTCTCCTGAAAATTTTAATAATTATTATCTAATTAGTAGCCTCTCCAAATCACCATTCTATAATTTCATGCAATTAAACATTTAAACAGTACCCTGTTACACAAACACCAACACTATTCCATTCAGGATATCTTAAAAAAAGTTTGGTCAATTGACAATATAATTAATTTTAATTTATTTTCCATTAAATATCTGAGGAGATCAAGAAAGATTATGAAATAGCCAATGGTTGGAAGATGAGGCCAGAACTAAAGTTATTTTACAGGAATCATTCTATTGCAAGCTGCAGAAAAATTCTTGCTTCTGTGAGCCACAAGAAATGTTATTGAAAGGATATAAGTGATATTACCATAAGAAGCATTTCTTTAGAAATTCTATTATTGGAATGGAAACTTCAAGAGAATATTGGACAAATGTATGATAATTTGCAGTCAGGATTTGAAACCTAAAAAATTGTTGCCAAAAGGAGAGGATTTTTTTCAGATCAAATTTTACCTGTGTCAAGCTTGTTGATTTTCTCTTGCATGAATAAGTTTTTTGTTTTTCAGTTGAACACTTAGGGAATATATCTACATCCGAATAATGTAAATAGTGAAAAATATTAACGTCTTAATAATCTGTCCTGGAAGTGTAACGTTTTACATGCAAAAAAATTGCAACATGAATTTTTATTTATAAATAAATCCAAAATATGCATGTCATAGAAATAAATCTTTGATTAATAAAATATATATACCTGAGTAAATTATTATTTTACATATTATTATGGGCTCCTTAACATTATATAACCTTCATCAATCTTTCTACCATTAATTTTGTTAATTTTTCCATTGTTTCAATTTTAACATTACTTTTTTTTTTATTTTAAGCAATTTTTATTGCTTCCCAAGAGTATTCTTTCCTTGAATATTGTTTTCCATTCTCATATACAACTCATTTAATGATCGATCACACATTTTCTATTGGATTAATACCTGAATGAAGCTGGGGACCATTCTATAATTTGGTATCTTTCATGAAACCGTTTTTTAATAAGAACAACAGTCAGATTTTCAGAATGTGAAGGAACATTGTCTTGCATGAATATATTTTTGTCCAAACATCAGTTCCATCCAATTCAGTTCTACATTCCATACTAATAATTACTGTTGAGAAATCAGTTTTCATGTACTTCTTCACCAAACTTTCATGTTTCTCTTTGTTTTGTTTAATTAAAAGTGGTAGTTTGGTTACATTCATATCATTTTAGCCAATCATCTTAATATCCTGCATCTTTTTTATTCTGTTTACATTTGCAACACTTGCTTCATCAAATATTTTCTTGATGAGAAATCAATTTTTCTTGCTTATTTCCTTTTTAATTTTTCCCAAATCTATGTTTGTGACATTTCAAAACCAATTGTTTTTGTTCTTATCTTGCCAATATTTTTTATTTCATTTTTTTATTGTTCTTTGATTTCTGTTCAAATCTTACACAACTTCCCAAATTGTTTTCTCACTACTCAATAACTTTATAATATTTGTTTCCATTTTGCGTTTATATCTTTCCTACAACTCATGCTAATCCTTATATGAAATTAAAAAAGAAAATATCATTAGTAATACTATTATCTATATTTGTTGACAATATGATGAACAGAACAACCCTTGAGTTGTATAATAAAATTCACACCATCGAATAAGTTCTTGGTCTATAGAAATTTATTGTGAAAACATTAGCTTGCATAATCTGATATGGTGTAGATATTCAGATTTGTTTTTTTTCATCTAGTTTTGTTTGTGTGTAAAAATATCCATTGAAAAATATCTCTCTGCAAGTAGAGAAATAAAAGATGGCTGAAATATGGATGATGACTGTGCTGTGTTTGTCTCTGCACAGTCTTGTCTTCCTTCCCAACATACTGACAGATAATTAGAATACTATGAATACGCGTTTCTATTTACTCGAGATTGCAGAAATGATCACATATACAGAACAATATCAGCAGAGAGTCCAGAATAAGAGATGGGTGTATGAACAGTACTCAAGTCTATTGTTCTTGGGCTTTATCAAAACACATCTTGCATATATACAATCATATAGATAGTGAATACCATACAGCAAAACAGTTTTTGTACCCGTTGACACACTATAACAACTGTTAGGCATTGCCTCATCATCATGCCCCATAAATGTTCAATGGGTGACAGCTCTTGTGATTGGTTAGAGAAATTGGCAAACATCTTTCAGAGTATGTGGAGTAACATGGGTATCATGTTGGTAGGCATTATTTTGCTAGAACAGCATATTGCCTTCTTGCTGCAGTAACAGAAGTTGAACAGATTGAATAAGATGTGTACCCATGACATGCTTCAACATTCCACTCATAAACACCAAAGGCATATGAGAAGTGAGTTATGACCTTCTACACAGTGATGCCAAGACCACTGCGCTTGTGCATGAATGCACTCTTGAAAAATGCCAATTGCATACGCATGTAAATGACTATGACTTAAATAAAGGGAAAACCTGCTCTCGTCATTGAATACACCAGAATGACATTCAGTATGCCTAGGATGATCCCCTTGTACACCTCTAGTGAGATATATGAGTGTGGTGATGTCAGAAGTCTGACTCTTAGAAATATTTGTGTCCGTAGTCCTGCTGTTAGTAAACAATTTCCCACAGTCCTACATTTCTTAGTTCCACTGATTCAGATCTTTCACCCGCCATGTGACATACATAGGATCAGATCACCCCCATTCCCTTCATATTCCATCGGACAGTTTCTTCCCAAGAGCTGCTGCCTTGTGGAGCATATTTTAATGTCATCTGTACTCGGGATACTATGCTGCCTTAGAATGCATCAATCTTGGTAATCATCTGTACTGCAAGGTCATCCAGAACCTGGTCTATAAGGGTAGGAATAGTCATTTGACCAGTAGTACCAACATTGAATCATCACTAAAACAACATACGCAGTAGCACAGTGTCTCTGACATGACACTTCAGCTGCATGAAATCCATAATCTGAGAGCTGTCAAATGGCTCTAAATGAACAGAAAAAAATACATGTATCTCTCTGTGTGACATGATACAAGCTTTTGCATTGGGATTTTTTTTAGATAACAGTGAACCTTATTGCAGCATGTGCCAGTATCTAAAGCACAAACGCAAAAAAATAGTGTACACCAGCATAAGTTGTGAAAATACTGTGAAACTATTCTATCAGAATAACCAATACCTGGATAGTATTTATGTACCTAAGTTAAAATTGGTGTCATCCTTCCTGATGTTGTAATATTATTTTCTGTCTGTGTATGGAAGTCACCTAACTCTCACCAATTCTTGCATCAATTGAAATAAAAGCGAGGTGAATGTGTTCCTATGAAAATCATTCGTAATATCAGCCGAAGAGGGGAGAGTCACAAGGCAACAGCTTCTCTCCATGAAGCTGACACTTGTTGGCAAAAGATAATTGATAAATGCTGACAGCAACAGCATCACTGTCATGGCTGCCTTTCAATGGGCATCTTGAAGATTGCACAATTTCCAATGTTTGTGTGTTGGGGTGGGGGTGCGGTTTGCTGGGCTGTTGGTTTGATGAGATTCAATCGAATTGTAAAGAAGCAGGAAGGGGTGTAGCCAAGGCTTTTATCCTTCAGCCATTTACCACTGATGGCTACAATTATTAACAAAGTGCTTAAGCAGGTGAGATGAAATGATTAGCTCACATACAGAAAAGACACACATCACTTTCAAAGTCATCACAATCTTGTGTCTTATGGATTATCATTCACTTTCTCTCTCTCTCTTTTTTTTTTTTTACTTTCCTTCTCTTTTCTCCATTACTTTTTCTTCTCTTTTGCCTTTTCTTTACTCTTATCATCTTTTCCCTTTTTTTCTTTGTTTCCTCTTCATCTCCTCTTTTGCTAATATGCCTCCTTTCAATAATCACCAGGAAGCCAAATTTACGAGTTATGCAATTAAAATATATGAGGTTAGGGGGTTAGTCTGGTGGCAAGATGTGAGATTTCAGAAAATAAATCTAAAACTGACATGACAAGACTGTGATTGAACATTTGAACACTGTGTTGAATTCTAAGAATCTACCGTTTTGCTCAAGGCTGTCAATAAAGAACTGGACGAATGTTGCAGTGAATAAGTCATTGGTGGACATCACTGTTTAACCATGATGTCTCATTAGTATTTATGAGAGCACTAACATCATCAGCCTCGTCGTTTGTATTCAGAAAGTTGGTTTTAGGGCAGACCTCTCTATTATTTATTCTGCCAAAGTCATATTTTCCAGGAATAAATTCGTCTTTTGTTGAGTGTTCAGCATGTTGGAGATGATAATTCATATCAGAAGAGGAAGCGAAGGATGAATGACTTATTTAAGGTTCAGCCAGAAGCAACAACTTTTGCAACACGAGCAAAACTAAATTTATAATAAAGAAAAAGAAAATCACTTTCACTTGAAGAATGCAATTTTTTCTTTTTTTAAATTTCCTTTTGCCGCTCCAATGTTATAAAGACAAACATATTGAAGAAATAGACATAATGTGATGATAAAAATACTTAAAGAGGACTTACCATCTGAATCATTGAAGTAGAATCTTTGTACTGGCTGGTGGAATATATTAAATGGGTTGTCTTTTGGTAGTTTCTGCAATGTGGAATTAGGCAAGAATTAAACTATAGAATGCAAAGCCTAGTTTCATTCTCTTTATAAGTTGCAGGAATACCAAGTGAATGTTATACAAATAAATGAATAGTTTTTCATTTTCAATAAATTTCTTACTAGAATGTGTAAATACAAAATTATCATAATAATTAATTTTTAACAACAGATTAACAAGAGTATAAAAGATGAAAATCTGTCATTTTCATAAACTCTTTTCTCTCAATTTTTGTCGTCAAAAGATTCATTTCTATTCCTGTCAGCCTTTTTCGTTGATTTTTGTTAAGCTTCAACCACATTTCTTTTAAAAACACCAGAAAGATAAAGACAGTTTGCAACAGAGATGTACATGAAACGAAAGGATTTACTCATGTAGAAAATGCAATTGTGCCTGGATTTTGTACACACAATCCATCTGAGAGAAGAGTTTTAACAAAATTCTGCCAACAGTTTGTGCAACAATTTTTCCAATTAATCAAACAGAACAACTTAAAACACAAACTAAACCACATTTTTTTTTGTTTCTCAAAATTTATACAAGTTTTCAGTTATTTCATTGAATGTTTTTATTTTAAAAAAATAATATACTTATAAATAATATATTTGTAAAATTTTAATGGTTTCTAAGACATTTTTGATAAGTCTTTAAGATATCAGTTTAAAATAAAAAAAGAATTTTGATTTCTAAGATTTTGTTAAGGGACAATAACTGATAACACACAGTACTTAATGAATCAACCACATTAAATGCAGCGATCATTGATTTGCATTGGTAAGACTTAAAACCTTCTATTCAGTAAATAAGTGCAAATATTGTCACTTAGCAATAAATACTCACTACAAATATTCACCTCAATTTATATGAATAAGGAACAAATTTAAACAGAAATTATTCTTATACATAACTCTGTAACTACTACTATTACTACTACTACAAAGTAAAAGTAGTATTAGTAGTAATATGGTGCAGACATTGTTGAAAGGACCAAAGTAAACTGAGCAAACTTGGACCGAAAGACAAAAAAGATAATGACCATGAACAGGTGCTTACATCCAAGGAGTAATGTGGCTAGGCTTTACCTACCCTGCAAAAAAGGAGCAGAGGAGGTTTGATAGTGTGTGTAACATCAGAATGTGAACCCCTTACATGAGTATTTACAAAATAGTCAGGTGTGGATGATAAAAGGTGCGCTGCATGAAAAGGTCATTGTAGAGATAGACAGGTTGGTGGAATATGAGAAGGGAATTTATGAAGAGAAACTCAATGCATCAAAGGAAAAAGCCTTTGCACAGAACATTTGCATAAGAAACCCAAGTGGTGGCAGATTTGAAATCACTGAGGTGACTTAGGAATGGGTGCTTTTGAAGAAGGAAACTGAAAAGATGATGATCAGTGCAAAGCAACAGCAGAGAGGCTTTAAGAACAAATTCAATCTGACACTATTTTAAAACAGCTGATTCACCATTGTGTAGGTTGTGTGGGAAAGTTATTGAGAGTGTGCCACAAATTGTCAGTGGTTGTATTCAGCTGATGCAAAAGAAGAGTACAGATGATGCGCCATGGCAAAGTAGCCATTAGAATACATTGGAAACTATGCAGGAAGTATGGCCTTAAGGTGGGTGGAGAGAAGTGATACAAGCATTTCACAAATGTCAGTAGTTGAGAGAATGAGTAAGTGAATCTTATGTGGGATACGGCCATTTTGACTAATGGAGAGCAGTTGCTCTGATACCACACTTGTGCACAAGAGCTGTCATGAATGGCTCCTGATAAATGTTGCAGTACCTTGTGATTAGAATGTAATAAGGGTGGGGCAGGTGAAAATACAGAGATACCATGACTTGGTAGGTCAGATCAGAGAAATATATCAAACAGCAGATCAAATTGTCTCCTTTTGTGGTTGGCACACTCGGAGACTATTTCCTGGAATCTTTCTGCCTCGTAAGACACTTTGGGGGCATATCTGACATTATTGGGAGTGTACAGATGGTGGTATTGCTTAGAACAGCTCATCTACTTAGGAAAGGATGGTGTCTCTAAGTTGCAGGTAGGAGCTGAGATATGGGCATTATCATTTGCTCAAAAAATTCAAAAGTTGGAGAAGATATCAGATCAAATAATAATAATAATAATAATAATAATGCTGCCACCACCAACACCTGTAATGTTGGTATACTTGAACTATTGTCTGAAAAATGAGAGGCAAGATTGAATAAATGAGAAATTTAAGGAAGAGTTTGTCCTGTCCATACTAGGACATTGCTGGAGTTTGCAATGATATAGAGGAAGGTACTGATCATTTAAGAAGGGGAGTGGTGCTATCACTCAATATTTAGTAATAACCAGAAAACCTTTTGTGTAAACATGTAAATGTGTGAAAATAATGATAAAATTCTCCAGGGTGTTTTGATATACACACCATCAAAACAAGTTGATCTGATCGTTGTTAACGATGAAGAAAAAAGAAAAATTGGGGAGGGAAGACCTGTCAAATTGTGGATATAGATGTGCAGATAAAATTTGAAAGCGAGTGAGAAAAGGGAGAGATACCAGGACCCACAGAGTTGTGGCCTTGTTCCAAAACAAAGTAAATAAACATTAAGAAAAAAAAAAAAAAAATCAAACTTTTGAAGTTAATTTATAATCACTGATGATAGAAGAGATACAAAAGCCTCAACTAAAAAAAAAAAAAAATCACATTTTTTTTTTTTTTTACTTCTTAGCAACTTGAAAAACAGAAATAATCAACTATTTTCAAGGAAACTGCATGTATAGATATCAGAAGATATTGGGAATGTTTAACAAACATATTCACAATAAATATGGTACATCAAAAGGACAGTTTTTCTCTTGACACCACCATTACTGTATACTCCCTTGTCAATTTTTATTGTTTTAAAAAGCTAATTTTAGAATTTCAATAAAACCCAGACATATGAAACTGGGCATAAGCATTCTCTTTTTTTCCTAGAGAATTAACAACAAAAGAATTAAACACTGTTTTATTAGATTGTTTATTTACAAGAATAGTTTTATATTTATAAGTTTATAAAAATATACAAACCAACTACATTGCAATATTTATTATTTATCATATAAAGAATTAACTATGAAAATATTTTTTCTTATTCAATAAATTTATAAAAAAGGTCTGAAGAAGAAAACAAGAAAAACTGAAAGAAACACGCATCATAACTATGAGTAGATGAAATGAAAAATTTTGAAAAATATAGAATTTTTAGGGTATTTCTTTCATTTGCTCTTGCTACATAAATGCACTAAAATAGGTAGGAAGCATCTGGACTTTGAATTTTTTCCTTGAGAAATGATAACAAAAATACTAAACACTATTAGTCCATTTTTTTTACAAGAGCATTTTATACATTTATTGTCAATTCTTGAGAATGTAAGAGAATGTATAAATCCTGTTTCATATGGTTGGGTTTTAAAAACAATGAAAATTGCCAAGGGAGTATCCAGTAATAATGTATGCCATGAGAAAAACTTTCCTTTTATCATATCAGTTTTTTTTTGGTTTAAGCTTTTTAGACATGGCCATGATTTTTATTTTTAGAACAGGAATATGACATGTTTAAAGATGTTAAAGTTAGTCAAAAAAGTTGCCTTTAGTCATTGTAACATTTTAATCTTAGGCAATAAGAAAAAAGTTTGGCAAAAGACAAAGAAAAGATTTATAAATAGATATCAGTCTTTTGACTCGTTTCTTTCTCCATTGTGTCTTTTCTTTTTTAACCCATTTCTTATCTAAAATCGTTCAACTGAAAAAGAATGAAAAAAGACATTTGACAAGGATTGATGATGATGATGATGATTTGGGGATCTATTTTAAGTCACCGGTGGTGGGTGAATGCAGCAGGAGGAGATGAGAGCAAGATATGCTATACTTCCTTGGCTGAATTATAGAAATATGGGAGGAGTTCAGTACTGCCAGCTTCCTACATGCATTTTCTGCTGCAATTGCAATATTTAGTATCTTATTCCTGTGGGTTTAAAAGAAGAAGAAGAAGAAGAAAAAAAAAAAGGACTCTCCTACCAATTTCCCACTCAGCCACTATTTCGATATAAACTAAAACAGCAACTGATAAAAGGCAGCCGTTCTGATTTGACAGATTTGCCCTTTCAAGAGTTTTTCTTTTTATTTAGGTTTTCTGGTCAAGAAAACAGAGAGAAATTTTGATTGGTTAGCAGTCATCATGTGACAGGAAGTAGAGAATGCAGTGAGTGTGAAGGTGTAGTGCAGAGAGAAAGGAAGCAAAGAGAGAAAAACTAAACAGAAATCAAGGCAAGAGGTCAAGGCTTGAAGGACCAGAGATGTCATCATAAATTTAGGAGGGCATTGAAAAGTAGCCCCCAATGAAAGGATATTATCACCATCCAAACCAACCCTAGATACATTCCTGAAATTCTCCTGGGATACACACATAGAGATTTATGAGGGTGGGGTCAACAGAATGCAACTTGAACCCTTCCCCAAATTCTCAGTGGAATCATTAGTTTTGGGGAAATGGACGGATTTCACTTTATTGTCTGACATAAGTAAGTGAGTTGCTTCCTTAGCCAGATATCTATATTTAACTTCCAAATGTTTCTGTTTACTATTGGTTGATTTTTTTTCTTTTTTTTAACTGAGAGACAATCTACTTCTTATAAGAGTGAGCAAATTGGATTATGTGAAAACTACTTTTGAAAATAAGTTCACATCTTTAAAGAAAAGAATTTTTTTTTTAATAAGTGACTGATAAAGAGAATAGGAGACAAAAAAAAAATGAATGAAAGCAATATTTGCTGAAAGATTTTGGATGTTAAACCTCATCACATGACTTAATGTTGTGTTTTTAAATTCAAACCAAAAACTGGAGAATTTCTTTGAATTTCGATTATACATTGATGAAAATTGATTTTGGAAAGTGAATGTCTTCATCGAAATAAGTGTTAAATCTGATGACATAAATCATTTGAAACTGATAAACATATGAATTATTGTCTTCAGTATAAATCAGAGACCTTGTTATGAGTAAGATGTCTTGACATATAGATATTAACTAATTTTGCAGACCTCTATTTACTAGATAGCTCACAATTGTGACCATGTGCCAGATTATGACTAGACGTGACAAGACTGAGAAAACAGAATGGAAGAAGTAGAATGGTTCTTATTCAGGAATAAGTGTTATAATCTTTATTGATATAGAAATTGGAATAGATATGGAAGAATTTGTAAAAGAATAGTTTGCTAACTCTAAGAATAGCTCAAAGATAATGACCATAACAAAGTTAGAATTGTTTCTCTTTGTGAATCAGTCAGCATTTTTGCTTTGGTGAAAAAAAGGGTATGGCAGACATAAATCTGGATGAAGGCACAGTATATATAATGTCAGAGGTCAAACCAAATTCAAGATAGAATAACATAGAAAGCCTGGAGTATCAGGTTATATGAGAAGATATTTCCATCTAATGTAGAATTGGTTGAGAATTGTTTAATGTTCAAGTGGGGATAGAGTGCTCATCAATCAGTCATCAATATAAAATCTAATTCTTTCACTCTTTAAGTACAGATGATTGCTATATTTGTATGATTTGTAATAATTGCATTAAACTTCAAGTCTGTGTGTTTGATGGCAATTAATTTGGGGCTAGCAAATCAATAATCTATGATAGGTTGAGTGTACAGATTGACTTTAGTAAAAATGCATCATATTTTATGCCATATAAAATATAATTCAGGAAAAATCCTCTCTACAATCTCTGAAAAGTTGTTTGGTGAGTCTCAAGCAGCAAATGTCAAAAGGTCAAACGCTTACTATTTCTTTTTATGACATTTTTTTTTTAATCATCCAAGAGAGCCTTACATCAGCATGGTTGATGCTAACTTCTTGGAGTGTGACTAATTCTCCGTTGATATGAAGTGGAAGAATTATATCAAATCAATTGCTAGGCGTGCTGTTAGAAAAGTGGTTTCACAGTGCTAGATCTTACACATTCATCAGGTTATCATTTATCCATGCATTGAATATTGCTGGCACATCTGGTACTTCTGCAATGTAATTTAAGATTATTGATTAAAATACAAGATTCTTGATAAAATACAAAGAAGAATCTGCAATGTTATTGGTCATGACCTGACATCTCAACTTCAGTCAATTCTCAACACTGCAATGTAACTTCCTTGTGCCATTTCTATAAATATTTTCATAGTAATTGTTTTGGTGGCAAGATCTTATCATTCTAAAGTTGAAATGGCTAGATCTAGCTAAGTTTTATGTTAAGAGTTTCTTCTCTTGCATGTAGATCTCTCTTCCATGGTACTACATATAATATTGCGACATCTTGCTCTGTAATAAATTAGACACCTGGACCAGGTGGAAGGATGTACTTAACAAAATATGGATAAGATCAATGAAAATAAGAATATCATGTTGGCTTGTTAGTTAATTCTATAACATATCAACCCATGTTGGGTCATTTAATGTCAAAATAATTTTTCATCATACTTGAGCCTATTGACAAATATTGCCATTTGTTTATACTTGAGTCTATAGGTAAATACTATCATTTATTTATACTTGAGCCTATAGGTAAATACTATCATTTATTTATACTTGAGCCTATGGACAAATATTGTCATTTATTTATACTTGAGCCTATGGACAAATATTGTCATTTATTTATACTTGAGCCTATAGACAAATATTGTCATTTATTTATACTTGAGCCTATAGACAAATATTGTCATTTATTTATACTTGAGCCTATAGACAAATATTGTCATTTATTTATACTTGAGCCTATAGACAAATATTGTCATTTATTTATACTTGAGCCTATAGACAAATATTGTCATTTATTTATACTTGAGACTATAGATAAATGTTGGTGATTATTCAGTCTAAAGGATGAGAATATTAGTCTATTGGTATACTGGTGACAATAGCACTTCTCAGAAATTTAAGACAATAATTGTAAATCTGTCTTTTTGTTTCAGATTTTGCAGATAAAAATTCCATTTAAAGTCCAAGACAGTTCTGCATTACATGTAACAATCATATAGCACAAAATATGAGCCGAAGTTTAGAAATTTAAAAAAGTAATACTTGATATTTCTTTTAATGCTTATGTCACTTTAAGACCTACGTGAACATGATTCAACACAGCTCCATTTTTCTTGAATATCTGTGAATCACCAAATAGTTTTTTGAGAAAGACAGTGGTTTCTTTTTATCTTCTTCACAATTTTGAATTAATAATTGTCCTTTTTCTAGACTAGTGGTCACCCAGGGTTTAGAGAGCATGGTCCATACTAAGGGAGAAGAAATGGATTCATGCCTTTCCCCCCATGTACAAAATGAATGCAACAACCACAGACAGAACTTGAACCCTGCTCTTCAATTCTATTTTCCTTTGCTTGTAATAGCTACACTATCTGAACACGTGACTTGATGATTACAGAAACTGAAAATCAATTTTCAAAAGAGCTGATAGACACTAAAACAACATTCATCAAAACATTTGTTTTGGCCTCCAGCCTCATCCAAATGGTGCTTGCGATATAAGCAAAGACCTTTTAACCATTTATATTCTGCTCTGCCATTGAATCCTACTTACAAGTCACTGGATAAGGGCGAGTTATATTTCTTTGTGAATGTCTATGTACATAAATAATGAGGAGGTTTTAAGTTGATGGATGTGCAGACGAGAATAATGATTATTATTGAAACAGAAAATGGAACACAGGCTGAAACAGATCATGTTCACTTGGCACTGTTAGGAAAAGAATCTATGTTGTGATATCTTAACAAAAATATCCGATTATGGCAATGCCAAGTTGGTTAACTAAAAAAAAAAAAAAAAAAAAGAGTGGAGGAGAAAGCATTTAGGTAAACCACTCTCCCATAAATATTTTACCAACTCTAACAGTAAGAGCAAAAAAAAAAAAGAAAAAACCTTATTATCTTTTAGACTAGGCTCATATATGGTTTTTAATATATTCTATGAATCTTTTCAAATTTGGTTTTCTTATTTACTCTTATAGAGAGGGATAGGGTTAAACAAGTCAAAGAAAAAAAAAAAAATTCACTAACCTTCCAACAATAAAAAATGGCAGTTGTGCCATTATTGGCAATATCCAGGTAGGATTCGACTTGTTGATATAGTAGTGTCTCGAAGATGACACACCTTTCAAATGGCATTAACTGTTGGGAGATGTTATGTCTGTTTCCTGTCCACTGCAATTGCTCTCCATCAAAAATAAGAGCAGGAAAAAATTTCACTCCATTTGTTGGTGCTTTGGTTGACAGACTGTCGGAGCTGTGTGGACTGCAAATGAAGAGAAACACAAAGAAATTCACTGGCAGTGAATAGAAATAATTCTATTCTGAATCATCTAAGTCATTATTATTTTTTCAAATTCTAAAAATACCTGATCAACTTAAAACCTGGCCAGCCATTTTAGAAGTTTTATGTGTTATCTTATTGAGATATTTGTCAGGTTGAGGAGAAAGAAAGTGATTTTTTATATTCATAACCCACTTGGCAAAAAATTGTTAAGTAGAATAATTAAAAGTAGACAAATTAAATCTGAAATTGTAGGTTTTTCAGACCTCACCTGATGAAACACTTCAAGTGGCTCACTGCTGGAAACTACATTTGAGAAATTCCATTGCAACTATTTCAGTAAAAAGAGATACAGGCATCTTAACAAACTGAAAGGAGGAACTTTGATTTGTAGAATATCAGACTTTATCCAAACAAGTCTCAACCTTTTTCTTGAATAAATTCTGTAAAATGTTTGAATGATTAGTTCATTTCTGTTCTTGTCTTTAAAGTATGGTCATAAATATATAATCCTAATTTAAGATGAGAATGGTTAAAGTTAACTGAGTGCATTGAAGACAATCCTTTTAAAGCTCAAATGAAATCAGATAATTTTTGTAATAAAAGGTCTAATACAGATAACTGAAATACTCATACATGCATGCACTTATCTGTCTTCAACAAAAATATACCCTCCCCATTTTAGATCCAATAAAAACATAAAAATACAGAAGGTTTGACATTAAAACACAAACCTAGATTGCAATTATTATTGGCTTTTTTTTGGCGGGGGGGTCTTTTCTCTAAAAGAACTATGTCAATTTTTAGGAGGAATTTTTTTTTTTTTTTTTACTTTAAGTCACTATAGAAGATTAAAAGATTGTAAAGAAAAATATAAGCTAAAGAGGGAAGAAATAAAAGAAAAGAAAAAATGAGAGAGAGAGAGAAGAAAAATTTGCATTTTGACAAGAGGGAAAGATAATGAGAAAGAAAAAAACAAAACGGAGAGCAAAAAAAAAAAGAAAAAAAGAAAAGAGTGAGAGAGAGAGAAAGAGAAGATTAAAAGAGATAAAAATCAAGACATTATTAGACAGGAACAAAAAAAAAGAATAAAAACATTTTGAGAAAGAGAAATTCAAAATGAATGTGACAGAAAAATGTTGAGAGAGAGAGAAAGAGAGAGAGACTATGGAAAGAGTTGGGAGAGAGAGACTATGGAAAGAGTTGGGAGAGAGGAGGAGAACAAGTAACATTTGTTCTTTTTTATGCCCTGAAACTATAATTACACAACTCATGTTGTTGACAAATTTGTTTCTGCTTTTATTTTCATTCGGAAAAAAAAAAAACCCTTCCATTTTTGTTTTGTTTTTTTCTTGTTTCTTCTTCTTTGTGTAAAAGAGATAAGAAGAGCAATTTGCTTTGCTCAGTTGACTGCAGGTCTGTGTATGTGTGTGTATGTTTTGTTGATTTTCAAAAGATGATCATTGTCATCAACTCATTTCTGCTTTTATCTATCTTTACCTATATTGGACCCAATACTCATTAGATTTGCAGGCAGTGAAAGCAAGAATATTTGTACTCACATACACACTCACATTTTGTTAAATACAACTGACAAATTTTGTCTGTTTAAATTTGACTGTATTTTTATAATTTCTGAATAAGATGTTGTACATGTGAATCAAACTTGTGGCTAAACTGTCATGTTTTTGTTCATATTTTTGCTCAAGTATTTTTAACCGTTTTAGTCATTATCAAGAACTGCATATTGCCTGTGTATAGTAGACATGATTTTGTTGGCTCCATCTGGGTATTTTGTTTTTGAATGCAGAAATTCAAATTAATGCATAAATATATGCATTATATAATTTATGCATAAAACAGTCACATGGAGCTAGAGTACACTAGAAAAGAATGCATCAAATATTTACATATATTATTATTATTTTTAAATATTTTAAACACACTTCAAGATAGCGTCTCCTGTGGTGAAAGATATTTTGTTTAATGTAGGTTGTTTATTTTGTATACTAATAGTTTCTAGTATTCTGATTCTTTGCTTTCTGTTGGTGATGTGTAGTATCTTGGTATTATCTACTAATATTTGTCTTGTGTTGATAGTAACAATTTGGTTGGTTGTGATATGATGATTGATATGTGCAAAAATTGCAATAAGTTTTGACAAGAGAGTGTGATGTGTGTGCAGCCAATGTAAGAATTTAAAGTTGTTTTTGAATATTCATGATATTGGGGAGGCAAAAAGGACATGACAATGTTTTTAGATCGGGTTGAAGTCCTAAGTTATTAGTAATAATTATGCTAGATGCTTTGGAACTTTCATAGTAAATGATAAATATGAAGGTATTTATTTGGAGGATCATTAAGTGATATGTACCAATGAATTCTATTTTTAATGGCTTTTTATCTTTTTTATAGTTTTGGTGAAGCTTATTATAATAGAATAAATAAATAGTGTTTATTTATCTTTGTTTATATCAGGATGATTGCATGTGTTAATTTTTTTTAATACTTTAAAGTTAATTTTATTTGCTTGTTGATGACATGGTTGACCAAATTATTGTTAATAAGTGTTTATGTTGCTTAATTCTTTATAAAATAATGTATACAAAAGAAATGATTTTAGTTCTGTTAATAATGTTTATAAAGTGAAGTAATTAAATTATAATTGCTGGCATCTACTAAATGTTGAGGAAAGTAATTTGATTATTCATGGTCAGTTCATAAGTAAAGTGAATAATGAATTTATTCTCAAAAATTTCTTTAAAGATTTTTATTTCATTTCGTCTACAAATTTTAGCTTAGGATGATTTTATTTTTTCAGTTTAATTGAGTGTGTGCATTGTGTGTATGTTTTTTTTAATGTTATAGAGGTTTTTTTATTTTCCGAACAAAGTCAGCACATTGTGGCCGTTTTCATAGTTAATATTATTAAGTTAAAACTGAAAAAATAAAATCATCCTTGATAATGGCTAAAAGTATAGCCGAAAGCGCTCGGAATTATAGAACATTTGGACAGTTTCTACACGCTCTGTGTCCCAAAAAGAAAACATTTTTTCGAACACAAGAAAAATTAAATAAAAATCTTAATTGCAGTACTTTGTCTGTCATTTTTAATGAAACACACACACACACACATATATATATATATATATATATATATATATATATATATATATATATGCACATACACACACAAGCCAAGCAAGAACTTTACTGCAACCAACAAAAATACAAGTATACTTTTTCTTGTATGCATGAACAGATATATTTAAATAGATTAAAAGAAGAAATACATTCTTGGCATATACGCATACAAATATGTTGGTTGTTTACTTGTTAAAGAAGCATAAATATATTGCTAACAACACCCCCAGGTTACTGGGTTTTGAATTCAGAGTTATCCTTCTCATTGGCTATTTAGAGAGCCAGTTTGCCTTACTAGTTAATCCATACCTGGACTGGGGGGAGTAGAGATGGGTATTTGCATGAAAGTGAGTGCAATGATCAGAATTCAAACCTAGCCCTGCCAATTCCTCATTCAAAGACCCCTGACCTGCACTCCCAAGTAATTGTCAGCAGCACATGGGCATAATTATGGACGATTATGGTTTGTACACCATCACAATGGTTAACACCAACAATACCAAATATCAGAGAGACAAGCAGGGGGCAAGATATCTAGTTTAACACTGAAGGCAGGTGCTCTATAGGAGTTTTTTTCTTCTTCTAGATGGATGCCTCAACAAACTTTCAATGGTTTACCATGTGCCTGGACACTAACCCAGATATTTGATCATCACCATGCATATATATTTTGGGAAAATCTATGACAAAATGGAAAAATTTAGAACTTCATCAGATTAAAGTGATGTTTATGTTGATGAGACTATAAATACACACAAGGAAAAGGAAACACTAAGAATTTTAAATTAAATTGTTTTTTTTTTAATATTTGTTTGGCTATATCGTTTAGCCAATTTCATTTAGTTTCTTTTTCTTTATGTTTTTTTTTTATCCCTTTTGTTATTAAATATCCCACATTGTGATAATAAAAGATCTGCCAACAAAGGTAAAATGTTTTAAGTACTGAGACATAAATTTACTATGGATGATCTAGCGATTAAAGCACTTTCTGTACATTTTCATCTTAGTAAATTGTTTTCTCTTTTAATTAAAGTAGCATTTTTTAAATCAAAATTATGGTTAAACTCGTGAACAACTAATGCATTTAATGTGTTGTTTTGCAAAAGATACATTTTGTGTTCATATAAATCCTCTCAAAGTTTCTCCTGTGTATTCTTTGTGGCAATTATTACAAGTTTTAGCTTATTATCTTGTTTTGTATTAAGTCTTTTATTATTTCAGACATAGTTGTAACAAATTTTACATTAAGCTTAGATAAATTCTTTTCAATTGTAGTTGTGACAGAATTTGGAGGTTTGAACAATATATTTTTGAATTGTTTTGATTCAGAATCAAGTGAGAATTGAACTCAGCATGTCAAACTCAATTTCTATGCCAATAACAGTCACACTATCCACAACTATAAATGTGTATATACTCACAAAGCTACAAATATATTTCTATATGAAAATATGTGTATATTTTGCTGAATCAATATTTCTTTTGACCAAATGCAACCAAATCTTTGCAGATGGTGAACATCAACAGGGAGGTGTTTTGCCAGTAGACATTTGTCATTTCATCTATGAGGACAGTGCAGTATCCCTAAATCAGGCAGTAGAATAATTTGTGAAAAAAAATGGCCTAGATCAAAAGCAATTTGCCAATTGAACAGTTAAAAAATTGTTTATGTTTGTAAGAATTTATATTTAAGTGCTGATCTGATAAGAAAAAATATCTTTTTCTCTGAAATGAAAATCAGCCTTTAATCACAAACAAATCTGAGATAAATGCTAAATTATTCTTTTGAGAGTATTATATATATATATATATATATAGGTAGATAGATAAATATTGTGCAATTTAACAGATGCCTTCTCAAGATAATGTAAATAAACTAAGAAATAAGAAACCAGCTAAGCACACTTTCATATTGTCTAATCACATATTGATCAGAAATATTGATTACAAGTGTGATTTTCAGAATGACTTTCATCCTTAAGATGTGAATAAGCAAAGCTCTTTAACCAGTGAAGAGTGAAAAATAAAGTATAAACAAAAGAAACAATAGAGACATGTCATATAATCCATTAGCAGAGCCCAAGATAAATGACATACGTATGTATGAAGACTGATGTCAGTGCAGACATATTTCTCAACACAATGAGTTCACACACAAACAATGCAGCATGTGAAATCACACAATAATGCAATGTAAAGAAATTTATAAGAAGATTTATATGAAAATTAGGCTATTACATTTAACATGATAGGTTTTGTGTTATGTTCTTTATCAAATTAGCTAGCCAAGTAGTTACTGTAATGAAGAAAGTGTCAAGAGAAGAATATGGCAAAAGTTACCTTTTCTTTAAATAGCCAAACACATCCATTAATAAGTTAGGGTTTTTTTTAAAAACTAAATGAAGATGGGATTTTAGATTTCTTATGCAAACTAAAATCCTATCACAGTTTTTATTGCTGTCTTTTTCCTATAAACTACAATTAACAATTCTAAAAAGACTAATTATATTTTTTTTTATTTCTATAAATCTCATGGTGCTAATAGCTGAGTGATAAGTATACAGGACTAAATGTTGAGAGGTTATAGTTTCTGTGTATAGTTGTGTTGGGTGTGGTTAAAAAAAAAAAAAAAAAAGAGAAAAGAACTTTTATTTTAGCAGTCTTTAGAATTTATAAAACTGTTCAATAACTTTCATGTGCAAAATAAAAGTTAAGGTGGCAATAAATGAATTGAAAATTTACCAAGTCCTGATAACAATAAAGATGGAGAAGGGAAAAAGAAAAACAAGAGAAAATAAGGAGAAAATGAGGCCATTTGCTGGAAATGGCATATAAAGATTTGCAATTCAGGAAAGCAGTGTTTCCATCTGGAATTTAATCACACCTGGTTGTATGGCAGGCAATTTAGTTATTTTATGACAATGACAAAGGCTCCTTCAACTTATCTCTGTCAGAGTTGATGTCATTGTGTCTAGTTTCTTGCAGAATCTCGTGGAAGGGACCTATTAATAAATCAACAACAATCAGAGATGATTTTTAATGGAAAGAAAAACAATTCTACAAAACTCAGACCATAGTTATTAAACTAAGCAAGTACAACCTCCTGAGAAATACTGACCAAATGATTAAACAATACATTTGATTGTACATGTGCAAACAACTAAAATGAATTTATGAAGTAAAATTTAACTCAATAAAATTGTTTAAAAAAGCTTTTCACTAATATAAAAGATATTCTCTTTTCACACACTAACTGGTCACTTAAGTAAGTACAAGTGAACAAATGCTTTTTTTTATTTGTTGACTAATGTTCACCCTATACATGGCCCAAGGTTATGCAGGGTAGAGGGGTTAGTGAAGGTGGTTGTCGTCGTGTGAATGGTAAAAGTAAGTGATTCACTTTATGAGCATATATATGAAAGATAACAGTTAAACCTAGACATTATTATTGTGAGCTAAGAAGAAAGCATTTAGCTTTATTCAACATAGAATGTTGCTAGGTTGTTAATGGAACTCTTCTACAATTAGACTATGGTTTTTATAGGTTGTGTTAGGAAGAGGTAAGTTTAGGAGGGGCTGCAAATATTCTGGATCAGATCTTATTGTACCACCTGAAATGGTGTTAACCAAGAAGGTTAATAGAATTTTGACAAAAATATATATGCATTTGGCAACTTCCAAAAATTTTTGTCGTGCTCAGGTTGAGTTTGGCCATATATAGTTATATTGTCAATGTAAGCATAAGTGTCTTTAATGTTGTTATCCCTAATTATTTGGTCAATAAACCTTTGAAAAGCCGTGACCCCATTTGTAACCCCAAAAAGGACCTGGCAGAACTGATAAAGTCTGCTATTTGCTTCAAAAGCTATAAAAGGTTTATCTTGTCCTTTTATTTGGATTTGGTGGTAACTGCTGTACAGATCAACTGAACTAAATACTTGGTAGTTGGATATGTTTTCTATTAAATCATTGATGTTAGGTAGAGGATAAATATCTAGCATAGTAAATCTAGAAAAGGTTTGAGAATAGTCGACCACTAAGCGTTTCTTGTGATTTTGACCACCAGTAACTAATACTTGTGCTCTCCAAGGAGATAAACTAAGTTCTACAATCACTTTGGCTAACATCCATTTTACTTCAGAGTTAATGAATTTAGTATTGGCTTCAGAATATCTCCTTGATTTGATAGCTATAGGTTTACAATTGAGAGAGACTATTGAAAAGCATGGGATAGGGAGCCTTCATTGTAGTCAAACTGCATATAAGGGTGTGTGTGTGTGTGGGGGTGTCTGCTGCCACCAAAAGAAATTTTCACTTTAGAATGTAGGTTCGGAATGTCATACCTGACTATTACATTGGCACATAAGTTGTCAAGAATAATTAGTTGTACTTTCTTAAATGTGTGATTGCCAATGATAACATCTGTTATGTAGCGTCCTGCCACTTTAGACTGAAAATTAGTAGCTGCAATAGAGATAACTTCATTAGAAGGCAGAGGTTTCCACCTATACCTTTTCACTAGTGAATGACTTACAAAACTCTCGGAGCTGTTAGTATTGAGTAGTGCATTCACTGATTTGCAATTTATTCTCGCTGGTAGAATAGGTTTCAATAAATTAAGGGGGATGGTTGCCACTGTATTGCAGTGTGGAAGAATTAAACTCAGAAGACTCGGGTTTAGACCTACAGACTTTCATATAGTGTCCGACCTTAACACAGGATTTGCATATAGCCTCCCTGGCTGGTCACTGTGTACAGGGATGTTTTCCAAACCCACAAAAGAACACTTAGCCCTTAAAGTTGCCGTGATGGTTTGGTCAGAAGAGGTACTGTTAGTAATAATACTGGAGGCAGCTGTAATAATGGTGTAGTCAAACTCTGTATAAGTGTCAGACTCCTTTATTAGTGATTTCCAAGGAATATGCCTGTTCAAATGCTAACGCCAAATCTAAGGTTTTGTTCTCCAATAGATGATGGTGAATGTAGCTGGAAAATATCCTGTTAATAAAGGTGTCTCTAAGGAGTTCGTTTTTGCACTCCTCAACAGTATGAAACCTAAAATTGCAGTCCTGAGTCAAAAGCCTTAGGTTTTGGAGGTACTGATTCAGGCTTTCATTTGCATCTTGTTTGCAGTTGGAGAGCAAATGTTGTGCAACTACCTCTCGTTTTTAGGCGCTTAACATAGAGAGCATTTTGAGTGTTTCTAAAGCTGTCTTCTCAGAGGTTGTTTATTTAACATATTTGGAAATTGCCATGCAGAAATAATAAGTACATATAAACTGGTTATACCTTCGAGGTCAATAAAGTTACTGAAAGTTTTGTGCCAATGGTCTACAGCATCACTTGCATTAGGGTTTGCCTCGAAATAACAGCATATCAGATATCTTTCCATAGTTTATGTTGAATAAATTATTCTGAACTAAGAAGAAAGCATTTAGCTTTATTCAACATAGAATGTTGCTAAGCTGTTAATGGAACTCTTCTACAATTAGATGATGGTTTTTATAGGTTGTGTTAGGAGTACTATCTGAAAGTGGATGTGGTAGTGGGTGTAGAATAGTAGCAACCATGACAATTATAGAGGTTAAGAATGTAGTGGTCAGGAAAGCATCCTCCTGGGATTCTATTCCACAAAGCAACAGTTCTTGGGAAGAAAGAACTTACAAAGGGAACGAGGGTGTTTTGCGTCTCACTGTATGTGGCATGTGTTGCAGGTCTTAGGCAAGGTTAGGGTCTAGCGTTGGGAGAACTCAGGAATGTAGCTCACCTGAACATTTACCATGGAAACAGTAATAGAATAGTGAGCAGTTTGCAACAATTTTTTTTTTTTTTTGGGTGCGGAAAAGGGGTTGTAACTTGGACAACAATTACCCGCAAAGCCATATCAGTGTATTTGTAGTTCCAGCCCAGATATGGCAGCGGACTCTTGATCTGGTTCTTGTAAAGGTAGAGCATAGTAGAAATAATGTAGTTATTGGAACAGTACTATTTTCCCAGCAGCATAAAATAATATAAAAACCAAAGAAAAAAATGCCTCTAGATAATCGATATTTGAGTTTTGAGCAATTTTGTTAATATTTTAAAGTTTATTCCCAACATTATCAAAATATTATGCTTATGTGTCTCCCCCACTGTCTACATGATAAAAACTACACTGCATGAGTTTAAGAAGTCAGAAGATCTTCCTGATAAAAATATTGTATGACGAAAAGAACAAAATCATAAGAGAAAAGTTCTGTCAAAAGCTTATAATGTTTGCTTGTCAATGGCAAAGCAAGCTTCAAAGAAATTGAAGATTTTCAGAAAATAACAACTGGAGAAAAAGACAAGAAAAAAGATAAAGAATTATAATTAGAGAATAAAGAGGAAATCATAAATGATGAAAATGTTTTTGAAGAAAACATTTTGGTTACTTTTAAGAAATGAACAGCAGTGAAGGATAAAAGTGTAAAATGCCTAAAAACAAAAATTCAACAAAATGATTCGGAGATGAATCAAAAGATTGTCAGTGATCAGTTGGAGAAAAGTACCTGGAATTTTCCACTGGTGAGTAAGAGAGAGTTTGCTCATTGTCAGGTATTTCACAACCATTAGAATCTCCATGGACAAGCAATTTATTTCCAGTTATGGTGGATTCTTCTTTAATCTTTGAGCCAACCACTTCAAGTCCTTCAAAGTCCTTTAAAGAAGAAAAAAAATGTTTGAAGAAATATTGTCTAATATTATTAGAACATCAGTGTTTGGCAAACAAAACACAAGCAAAAAGAAAGAACTGACAACTTATATTGTGAGAACCAAAAATGAAATGTTTATTTTAGGTATGACATGTTTAAAGGGCCATCCTTTAAAAATCCTAAGAACAGACACATAAGTATACTGCTTATAGGGAATTTCATAGATAAACTGAATTGTTGATTGTAAAAATTTTTCTCAAAAGAGAAGAAACAGTGGTTTCTAATTAGTTTGAATAGTTGTATAATTTTGCAGAGACGGATAGAGATCTTTGTTGTGACAAACTTCTGGACATGCTCGTAACACACAGAAATAAAATAGGCTATAACTTCAATTTAAATAATGTAACCCTAATTTTTTATTGTCCAAACACAATTTATTGTATCCCTAACTTATATATATATATTTAAAGAATTTAAGAGCAGATTACTTCACAACCACAACTGGTATAATCTAAATTCTTTCACTCCTACAAAAAATTGCCCAATGAACATACAAACACTAATGGATAGAAATAAAATATCCACCAGACATATGCATATGCACACATATATTATCAACGAAATTCTGTGTAGACCAACTAGAATTATGATGCACATACACACAAGAATTATACACACAAACACTACCAAACAAGACAAATATGTGTGAGGTTTACTTAACCCATGGAAAACAAATCTAAACAATACCATAACATTATCTTTCATATTTCATTTATGATGAAACTTAAATAAAAGCAAAACATTTTAAACTTCTAAATGTTTCCTATTTGTTCCTTATCCTATCTTATCATATATGGATTATTCGAGAATGAAACAACATTTACCCCCCAGGATTTTGAATCCAGCTACCAGTAAGAGCAAACTTACCAATACTTCTGGCTCTGCTATTGCTGAGCATGTAATAAATAGTAGGAAATGTGTGGTTAATTTTAGTGCGGACCGTTTTTTGCTTTTATCTATGTCCCACTCCACATTTCACCTCGAGGTTCTCGAGTCCTTGTATATGCTGAGTAGGCATTAATTACAATTTCTGGGAGTGAGTGCATAATCTGGCATGATCAATTTTTTTTTTTTTTTAACATGCTCAAACACTCAGTCATGATGACTTGTGACTTCATGCTAGCACAACCATTGATAGTTTCTGAACAATTCCATCGCTCTAATTTTACACAAAAGATTTGAGTTAACCTGTGTTGCGGTTTTCAGGTAATTTCCAAAGGTGCTGCAATCACCTCCCCAGGCTGATATTATCAAGAAGTCACCTTCTTGACTAATCAGCCATCGTGAGATGGCAAATGTTCTAATCACTTGGCCACACACATACACCCATGTGTGTGTGTGTGTGGCCAAGTGATTAGAACATATGGGACATGATGAGACAATACCTGACTCTTTCAGTTAACCCACCTACCACTCTTGCTGTATTGTGTCAACAACCAGCATGGCATGATGTAAAATAGGATGGTAATCATCATCTGTATGATTGCACATATGTCAGAGTACAGGCCTGTGTTGGTGCCCAATGAGGATATGCAGTGTATTAATACAGAGTCTGAGCACTGTATTTTTTTTTTTAAATTTTGAAACCTCTGCATGCACTGTATATTCAATCTTTTTACTATATATCCGGCAATATTACCTCAATGTTGAAACACATATTCAGTGCTGCAATTCTATTTTCTATCTATTCATAAAAGCCACATTTTTTATAATGCACGAACACACACCATGTTTATATATATTCAAACATTTATATTGTTACAAACACATGCTCACTTAGAAAGAGATATAAACATATACTGGTTTCTTTCTATAAGAAAGGAAAGATTTCAAGTTGATAAGATGTGAAAGATATATACAAACAACAAACTAAAGAATTATAGAAACCAAAACCAATTGCAATTCTTGAACAAAATATTAATTAATTTGTGCTCAGAATCACTTTGCTGCTATTTTGGTAAAAGAACATCCAGACAAGAGTATCAGATTTTTTTCAAATATTGTTAGAAAAATTATTAAGCAGCACTAACCCTACCCATGAAAATTTAATGGTTTTTCTCTTTGAGTTTTCTGATGTATCCTAATATTTAATGGATAAATAAATTGATCGTGAGTTCCACAAATACAAAAAAAAACATTGAAATTTTCCTGTGGTATTGTTAAATATTTGAGCTTAGCAACATTAATAAAATATTGCAATAACAATCATAAGTATAAATACAGGTCATTATTTAAAGAAGCAAGAGAGTACAAATGAAATTATTTAAAATTGACAAGATTTTCCATTTCACTGAAGCAGATGTTAAACACATGAGAGCATTATCAACTCCTCTTTCTTCTCTTTCCTACTTTCTTTTTCTCACTAAAGTCAAACAGCATCTCTTTTCTGTCTTCCCCTGTGATCCAACTCGAATGATTCATTATTCATAAGGTACTGGCCAGGCGTAACGTCTGTGCTAAGTAAGGGAGCAAGGAACAATCAGAATTATAACAAGATAATTTTTAACTATTTTTTAGTCTCCATTTTTCCACAGCATTTTGTAACTGATACCTTCCACAATAATTGCATTCTGGAATTCAGAATAAAAAAAAAAATTATCTTCACACAAGACTAATTTACATGCTATACTTTTGGGTATTAACTTCATGGATGATATGTTTGGCTATTAGACATATAAAGCTTTTCTTGGTTAGACATTAGATTATTTTTGCCATCTTTGCCTTCTCACTTGAGGCTGATATTGATAGAATTTTAATATTTAATGCCATTGTGTTCAGAAAGATGATGTGAATATACATTGAAATATAAAAGAAATCAATTTTTATCTACACATATGCATTTATTGTTCCTTCAATTTTATCCAAGTGTGTGTGTGCATAAATGAATAAAACCTTTAATCCCATCTATGAAAAGATGTCAGTCACTCAGTTGTACAATAGAAACCTCTTTTTAAATTTGGCATAGCTGAGAGTCGGGTAGTAAATATGCCCTAATCACACCTCTTGATGAAGGGTGAATGTTTCACAATTTCAGCAAGCATAAGTAAACTAAAAGATACAAGAGAGAACCGCATAATTCATGCATACTCCCATTAAGGCACCATCTGGAGGGCACGTGATCGACTAAATTCTTCGACCAACCGACGTCTCTTCCTTCCTTTTTTTCAAATGGTCACAAAGGTTATGGCACTGCTCTTCACACAGAAAGGAGGAGACAGTCCAGTGCACATCTACACCTAAACACACACATGTAAACAGGGTCAGGTAGGTAAAGATTAAAAAAAAAAAAAAAGGTGGGAGAAAAGAGAGAGAGAGAGAGAGAGAGACGGCGGGGTGGGAAGTAGGGAGACATATTACACCTGCCATACTAATAGGCAGTTGGCAGCTGCTATATACAAGTGCGAAAAGAAAAAGTCAAAAAAAAAAATTTTGAAAAAAAAAAAAAAAAAAAAAAAAAAAAAGAAATAAAAGTAAAGAGATGAGGTGGAGGAGTATTAAGAGGAGAGTAGAAGGTAAGTTTTTTTTTTTTTTTTCAAAGTCTCTCAGGACATATTGAAGGCAAGAGAGGGGGACAGGGGAAAGCAGCTACCTAATGAAGCTTGTGCAAATGGTTGGTAGAACAGGGATTAGGAGAGATAGGAAAGAGATAAACTCACTACATAAATAACTAGATCGGATAGGAAATTGTGGAGAGCTATGACCATCTACGTTGTAATGAGACATGGCATATAGAAGAAAAAAAAGTAGACATAAACCAGCTGAATATTGTGACTGGCATGAGACTGAGAAAATGGAAAGGTGTGGGATCAATGAGGGCAAGCAAATAAATTTGCTTCTTGTTGGTTTCACTCAAAGCAGATTTTAGTTGAAGAATATGCAGTCTTTTTCAAAATGCAAATTCTCTTGGCAAACAAAGAATGCAATGTGCACATTTTTTATATTTTTAAGTCAACATATTTTACATATAAAGAAAAAGTTCCTATTCACTTTTTTAACTTCATGAATAAATAACATGGTTAATTATTTTAAAAATGTTATATTCTGTGCTAATAGAAATATATACTTGAAAAACAAGGTGGATAAAGTAAGTAAAGGTTTAGTGTAAAAAACCAGTACAATAAGAATAAAGGTAACAGCTATACACAAGGTCGTCGCAAGTTAAATCCAGTAGTGAGTGCTACTATTGGAAGGTTGGTAGTTCTTGCGCAAGTCTGAGTTGTGCTCAAAAGAGTTCACCTAGAGTATCTAGCAACTGCTCCACGCAGTCACATGTGGCACAAGGCTGAATTTAATGTGAAGTTTCCAAGCCTGTAGGCTTGGCCAAAAAATCCCTGTAGACCCCGCATAAACGGGATTGGGTCTGTCTACCTCCCTGGACGAGACTCTGCCCTTCAGCATAGGCTCATCCGAGTTCCTCTCTGCCCAAAGGCAGAGAGTTCAACCAGCACAACTGAAAAAGATTCCAGCTAGATTCTGTAGTCCATTGACTTACAGATACTTATACGTAATTACTACCTATAGGGGCGACAGATTATTATATTACATCAAAAAACAACAAGAAAGTATCTTATATATTCTATAACTGTTAACAAAATCTTCTTATATATACACATACGACCCACCAAAGATCAATTCTTAAGTCAGGTGTAGATCAGATAGAATAAAGAAAATTAAGTAGCACTTTTCAATATATATGCCTGGGAATTTCAAGTGGTGCACAACCTTCTCATTTTAATAATTCTATTGCTAATTGCTTCTTTTATCATAACTCAGCCATAGTCCTCATGATTAATGAATGCTATTACTGAATGCTATCAAACAGTAAACTGACAACAAGTGCATTTAAATTGGAGTTTATATACTATTAAATCCACAGACACATTTTTATCTCCCCAATTGGTTGAGTGATCTGTTTTTTACAGCTTATCAACCCTTTGTAGGTTAT